ATAAAACCCTATAACCACCGTTTTCGTAGGAAAACATGCAGGGAGTAGGGACAAATGAGTGAGCCTACATAAGCTACTGTTGCCGTTGACCGTTTATGTATCTTGCCATAGGTTGTCAGAAAAGGTAATATTAAGCACCTCTTAGATCAATGAAGTCCGCCTTGACCACTTTGACGAGGAGGTTTTTGGAGGAGAGTGTGGTGGAACGCTCATGATGTGGCGATAGGTCGGTTCGATGCCGCCGTTGGCTGGAGTTTGCTGAACGATTCACAACAGGTCCCGTAGCTGTTTCAGCTGACTCTTCCATTTCTGAGCTGGGCGGATGGACAATAGGATCCAGTGGTACAGGCTCGGCTTCGCCGATGCGCTCGGTTACATTGTGCGGATCAACCCCCGTCTCCTCTGATGCTGCTGCTGCATTGGCCTCCTTCTCATAATCTGAGGCTGACCGTTGAAACGGTGGACGAACATGAGTAGAGGCGAGCTTGTGCTTAAGTCCGGGGTTGTGTGCAAGCACGACCATCCCACCAGTACCGCCTTCGATCGACTCAGCAGTTTCAGTTGTGCTTGATCCATCCCCATTTTGAGTGGTCATGTCTTCTGTCTGTGGGGCAGGTGAGGGACTCCTACTAGACGGTGGATTGTCTCGTGAGTGCTGATGTTGGCCCGAGACTAATGGTGTGGTTGCCTCCTCTATGGATTCGCGAGCGGAAAGAAAATTGCTAGGGAGTTCTCCCGTGGCAATTTTATTGCTCGACATGGTATTTGGTTGGATGCTCGAGGAAGATTCCCTGTCAACAAAGTAGTATTCGTCATCAATGGCGTCTTCATCAAAATCCTGAAATCCATAATAGGAGTTTTCTATTAGTAGGGAATATGATTTATACATGCGTCAAAATTCGTATAGAGCTATTAAAGGGCGACTTTTCTAGTACTTTTTAAAATTTTTAGGGTTAGATGTACAGCGAGCACTGTGGTATTATGGATAATAATAACTGACATAAATATTCATATTTCACGTTAACATAATATGTAGTTTGTACATTTTTACAAAAGACCGCCTTTATAACAATGCAATCCTTCCAAGATCTTGACCAAGACCAATCATGCAGTGAGTGCTGATACCACGCACAGAACGGACGTAGTATTAACGTGGCTCGGCAAGTGCATCTGATCGGCGTCGAGCAGGGCATAGGTGGCAACAAATTGACTGGGCACAAAGATATGGTAGAGAGGAAAACCGCGAATACAGCGCGAATCAACCCTAAACCAACATGTCTTACCGAGATAGCAAATATTTAAATCTTACTATAAAAACGCCCAAATAGTTAGGATATTCTCGGTTACTTCATAAGGAGCTCTGACATTTCCGCTAACAATATGCAGGTTATCTTTTGCCAGTGGATCCATAACATCGTGTTGGATAACCGGCTTTCCAGATTTTAGGTCGAAAGATAACAGTGGTGTTCAGTGAATGCTCAGTTTCCAGTTTGCTTATCTGCCTATTGCATAGTTAAACGTCTAGGATGACCTCTCAATTACTCCTCAATCGTTGGCGTCCCAGGCAGACATAAACCATGTTAATGGAAAAATAAAATCCTCCATGTACTCCTATTTATCAGGTTGCAAATACACACATGATCAAACATTTACTGAATAAGCATGCAGATTTGTTTCAAGCGATCATAAGGTGTACAATTAGTGCCAATTCTCGTAAAGTTAGAATTGTGTATGAAAGGATTTTTTGACCGTACAGGTTCAGAATCATTTCTCGGTACCATACTTGCCCACGAATCGTGATAAAAGTTCCCCCAAATATATTTAGCCACCGCCTAGGACCATATGGCCACATGCGCATCAAAGACAGCGAAATTCAATGCAATACCGATGAGCCAAGCCCATTCTGCACATCTGACAACCCTCCATCCAAAACACTATGAATATCCTCAAAAAGCGCGGCGAACGCCATCAGCATTACTACCGCAATCCAATCCTAAACTCTCAATATATCCTGCCCATATTGTCAGGGTACATAAAACGCACGCATCGAACTGGTAGGTCACTGTTTTATCCCCACATAAAGACTGGCTAACAAGAATCAGGAGAAGCAACAGACATTCATTGTACTTGCCTTGTCCGACTGCACTACAGCCGCACATTTAGTTACTATATGAGCCCATTAGTTTACATGGGCTTCCATTCAAAACCTGTGATAAAACACCGCTGGTTTAACTCCAACGTCACGCATTCCCTCACAGGCACAAACAACACACAAACAAACGAACATGTTGCGCATCACACTCCACAAACACGAAGTCGGCGTCCCTTATGCATGTGAAAAGCGTGCTTCTTGCCTACTTCTCCGTGTAGCACTGTGAAAAATCTGAGTTCCAAACAGCCCACGTCACTCGTTTGAAAACTCTATGTGTTGCACAGGTCTGTGTTGCACACGCACATGAAAGCCCAAGTTTTTTTAAATTTACTGCGCTTGATTTCACCATCATTTCGTAGACGGATTCTGGCAGTATAGCGCTGCATTTCAGCGGGAGGAGTTGGTATGGTTGAGCCTCAGCGTCTATTCCGCTCTTCAGACGATCTGATGCACGTGGAGAGGAGACATGGCGGGCTGAAAGCCGTGACACAATAAGGTGTCAACTGAGAGAATATCTAGGTCCTTTCCTCAGAACGGAAATTCAGAATGCAATGACTCTTAATGAATCTTTTAGGACACACCCGTCCAGTTAGTGTCTGAGCCGTCTCCTCTTTGATGTTTAATATAATCCTAGTCTATTGAACGCAGATCAGGCATGTGTGGTACGCGTAGTCAAGCTGTTTAGTTCTGTCAGCCTTTACGTCCAATACCACATCGGGCCTTTCTGACTGTAGCCCATGAGGGTAAGGGGGAGAGAGTGTGGTAGATGCTACAGAAGTGGGCTTTCACTCTAACTACTCCACCATTCACATGCTCACTATGCTTAAGGCACATGGTGGAGAGAAATGAAGGCGACAATGAATCCGATTCAAGAAAAATGGCACCCCCATATCCTTTTTTCAAAAAAGTAGGGTTTCGACGTTTTTGGCTCACACGACCTTAAAGTCGTATGAGCACCTATAAACGGTTTCGTTGTGAAGTATGATTACCTAATTTCCTACTTTATATCTGCAGTTGAATAATATCCGTGGCAGAAAGCTTGCAGTGATCACAAAAGCACCCCTCCAATAAGAGAATTAGATTATGTGAGACGTGCCTATTTGAACTTTCTCTATTTTCACCCTAATATATGTCGTTACTTCGGATCACTCTCAGTCGGAAATAAAAGTAAGATTTCGTCCAAATACCGTTGGCAAAGGAATGAACCACCTAAGTTCTGAGCTTAAACTAAGGTCCGAAATAACAGCATTGTTTAAACTTCTCACAAAAAGAAAGTCGGTTACAAAAAGAATCCATGAAATATTATATTTAGCAAAAAATGGAAAGAAAATGCCAAATAAATTTGATTGCAAAAATAAAATTACCGTCTGAATTTCCCTGGTTAAGTTAAGGATCCTCTTTTGGTAAAACAGCTTTAAATGGGGATATTCTTCCATTAGGGCCTGTGCATTAGGCCAAATTTGATATGCATTCCGAATAACATCTTCAGTAAGTTTACAGAAATCATTTTTAGAAATCTCAATCTTTTCCATTAAATGAAAGCGACAGGCTTACCATTTTGTCTGAGTCAATAAACAGAGAAAAAGAGGGTTTCGATGGAATGGCGGACACTCCTAACAACTCCGAATTTTTGAAAGACATTATCAGATTGACCTACTAATAAAAACTATGATGCGAAACTTGCTTCAATAGTAAATTCTCCAAGGGTGAGATTCAGGGGAACTGGGCCGCCAGAGATCGCAATTGCCGAAAATGAAAGACGACGAGAATACACGCGAACAAATACACTCTTTTCGTTAGAATAAAATATAACCTACCACAGAATTTGCGTTAAACATAGGACTCTGTGAAAGTTCAAAGGACAAGGGCGAAGAAAGCTCGGGGTTATAGAATATGTCCTGAACATTTTTGGGGAGCTAAAACATGAATAAACCTCAAAACCGTTTACCATTGCTGAACCCGGTGGTCCACTGACAAAAGCCATGCAAATTTCTATAAGTTTATCAAGAACCCAATAATTCTGTGTCCGCCAACGGTCAAGTAAGTTGTAGACTTCCGGATAATTATCCTCTCCATTGTCCTTTAACAGTGATTCTCGGGCGGTGTTTCGAAACAGCAGGTAAATCGGCAGGCATATCACTAACAGAATCAGCAATGTCCACAGCACAAGCTTAGGTGCTGACTGACTGAACAGATTATCAAAAATGTCTGTGAACGTCAGGAATTTGTACGTCAAAAGCTTGGCTAGTGTAGATGCCATCTTTTGTGCCGATATAACCACTACATTTCAGCACGATAACACATTGTCCGAAAGATAAGCTGACCTTAAAACACTGCGACCCTTTGTAGATCATTTAAACAAATTTAGGTCTGTTACATTTTTGCCCAATTTTCTAGACATTTTTCTAAAAAATTCTTCAAATAATATTTTTAAAGAAGTTTTAAATTTGCGCTGGTTTAAATATGTGAAACCTGACCCTCTAGTTGTTTGTCCATCACCGCGATGCCTACTGTTCAGGTTGTTGTTGGTGCCCAGTGGGGCGATGAAGGTAAAGGGAAGCTTGTGGACATGTTGTCTGGCGATTGCGACGTTGTGTGTCGTTGTCAAGGTGGCAATAACGCAGGTTTGTTTTAAATTTTTTTAAATATTTTTCGTAGGCCACACCGTCGTTGTGGATGGTCGCTCCTTCTTTTTTCACCTTGTTCCTAGTGGGATTCTTCGAGATGATGTCATGTGTGTTATTGGAAATGGTGTTGTCTTGAACCTCGCCGACTTCTTCAAGGTGCGTGTTATTTAAGAAGTGGCTTATCTTCAGGAAATCGACGAACTGACAGCAATGGGCATTAAAGACATCGAAAGCAGGATGCGGATTTCCGAGCGAAGTCACATAGTCTTCGACTTCTACCGCGAAATCGACGAACTCGAGGTATGGCCCTATCGTTTCCTTTTCCATCTTTTAGGAAAAAGCACGTGGCCATCGGCACCTTGGCACCACAAAGCGTGGCATTGGTCCTGCGT